TAATACAAAAACAAGAAATTCGCAATTGTAAAACACATTTTTATTATACGAAGTACTTTAAAATTATATAGTCACACAACATAAATTTGAGATCGTCACAAAGTGATAAATGTGATAAAGAGAAATTCCACCATGCTTCCATTCCTCAGTTACTCTATAAAAATTGTTTGTGTTACTATTAGCTTTAATTTTACAAAATCAAAATATTTACAATTCTCTTCCTTGTGTTATGATTGTATAATCAGTGCAAATATCATAACGAGAATAAAAAATCATAGATTTTATAGGATTATAATCTCTCTTGAAGATTTCCTATCATAAAAAGTCAAAAGTTTCCTTACCTATACTCAATGGAAATATATTGCCAGCTGATAGATACATCTCTCCCTTTAATAACATGATAATATGGATTTTTAGAAGTAAGAAAGAACCTTGCATATCACAAAGCATGTATCTACTATTTGCTCTTTTAAATTTTTCTAAAGAAAAATTGTGAGTTTGCATGTATTGTATCCAGTGTGGAATCTTAAATAAATAAATAAAAAATGCAAAATCCATATTTATTTGCTTATCTTTTTCTTTTTTTTTTAGTAATTTATACACATGTTTTAGTGATAATGAAAAATAATAAAACTAAGGAATTAGTTTAAATCTCATTTCATAGATTAATAAATACTAAAAATGTTTAAAATGTTACACTAATGGACCATCAATGGACTGGTACCATGACCAACCCTGGGTCATATAGACATGTAGTATAGATATAATAAATTAATATAGATATCTATATATCTGTGTTTATGGAAGTTATGTGATTTAAAATAAAATTTCACAATTTTAACAGTAATTCCGCAAGTTTATCTTAGACATTCGCTAACTTAATTAGATATTCGCTAAGAATTTGAGCTTTGTTAACAATATGTTTTTCTTTTTCTTTTTTTTACATATAGTTAAAAACTAGTCATAAAAGGTTTTATTTAAATATATCACGAGCAAATTCGCAGATTTCATTTTCACGCACAACAGAACTATGTAGATCCTCTATTCTTAACGGACATATTTATTACATTAAAAAAATCATTACCAAATTTGGTCAAACAATAACTAACTTGGTTTACTCAGATCGAGCTCATATTGCATTTCTGAACATAACTAAAAAGTTTATGAAAATTTTTTTTTTAAAAAACGAGTCGGCTCCTTTTTTTAAAGCTGGATTGAATGGCGGTGATTTTTTTAAAATCCAACATGTGGATCACATGATACTTCAAATTTTTTAACTTTTGATCCGTGCTGTATTCGATGCTTCTCAGGATTTGTCACAACCGAAAGATTTTAATTTTTAGTCTCCAACGAGATATTGCTTTAACAGCTGTTTTACTATTGGTTCCTATACTGTGCGATTGACTTGTAGCATTGAGCTATCTCGTTGTTTTTGCGTTAGCAAATTCCGAGAAAAAGCTTCAGTTAGATTTTTTGGGGGATTGTCTTTCCTATTATTTATTGCGAACACGCTTTTTTTTAATTAAACTATCCTAAACATTTATCGATAACCGTTTATTAATTCAAATGCCAATAGTTGTCCTATTAATATACACTACATAGATACAATTATTTATTGATCAAAACTTCAACTTTTTTAAACAACTTTATTATTATAACAATTAACTACAACTTACCAAAAGAGCGTTACTATATTATAAATGTTAAATAATTCATTTTAATTTAAATAATGTCTTGTAATCGTTTTCGTAAATAACCCTTCATCAAGTTCGGGTATTGCAATTGTGACTATTTTTAATTATTGAAATCATACCATCGAATTAAAAAATAATGATTACTGGATATTCTTTATCAGATTTTTGCATCAAGTTATAATATAATTATTATAATTATTATTATTCAAGATAGCTGATAATTGATTCATGTGACTGTTCCAGCTATTTCGCGCACCAGAAATGGGCTCTGGGGCGTAGCACGACTTCTGCGTGCTGCATTGGCATTCTAATCTATATTATTTGAATCATCTCGATGTCTTTTTTATCATTAAACTCAAAGTTTCTCTACAATATTTTATTGATCATGATTAAATCTATTGTTGTTTTGTTGACGATGTTGACGTCAATGTTATCTTTTTCTTCATGTTTTAATTACTTGACTATTGTTGTTTTTGTTGACGATGTTGACGTCGATGTTATCTTTTTCTTCATATTTTAATTTATTGGTTGATGTCATTTATAATTCACTCATTTTAGAAAAAATCACGCTTGGTTCTTGTTTTAATACTTTGATGATTTATTATAGGAAATGAGAGATCTTTTAATACAAAACTTTTAATTAATCCTCTAAAATTTGAATAAGATTTTATCACTGCCACTATCATTTTTATTATATTAATATATACTAATATACCAAAAAATTTATATTCCCAAATTTGTCAGAATGTTACACCACACAATTTTTTCATCCATAATTTGACATGCATTATCATCTCATTTATTCATACATTCTCCTTTTTTAAATGAATGAATGAAAATTCAAAACTATTATCTGTTATTGGAAAAAATTTTTAAATATTAAATGTGAATGAATGATGATGTCATCAAATAAATTTGCAAATATATTTTTTTAAATAATAACACAAACAAACAAACAAACATGCAGACATTCATAAATAATAAATATTACACTACATAAACAAAACCTTTTTTTTTGGACAATGAAATTTGTAGATTCTCATACTAATATGAAAAAATATAATGTCATTATTTGTTTTATGTTGTACATATGAAATTTAAATTCATTATTTATTAATTTTTTAAGAAATATTTTTTGTTTTGGAAGGAATGTGATTAATTCAATAAAAATAAAAAAAAAATTTTTTTTAAAAATAAAAATAAAAATAAAAATAAAAATAATAATAATAATAATAAAAATAATAAAAATAAAAAATAATAATAATAATAATAATAATAATAATAATAATAATAATAATAATAATAATAATAAAAATTGCAGCTATCTTCCACTATTTATTTCACAAATTAATATTAAATACACCACCATTCACCTCGACCATTCATTCATTCTTCAGCCATTCACTCGTCTGCCTATAAATTTTGTAATTTTCTAATCTTCTCCTATTCATTCATCAAAGATTTGTATCACTAGAACTCACATGTATATTGCATTATTGTAAAACCTGTTTTTTTTTAAGAATTTTATGATGAGGAGATGTATTAAAAAGTTTCTTTTTTTTTTCAAGATAAAAATTTTTTTCGAGACTTTATTATAAAATTCACCGATTGGTATTTTCTTTATTCATCAATTTATATTATTATTTTTATTATTTTTATAATTATTTTACGATTGATACATTTACTTATTAATTATTTAATGAGACCTTTCTTTACTACGTTACTAATAATTAAGTATGTGGTGGATATTAAAAAAATTTTTTAATAGATTACGAAAGTTTGTGTAACTGTTGTTTCAACTTCCTATATATTAATTATTATCATTTTTTTGTTTTCATTAAATCATTTTTCACAAATTCTTTTTTTGAAAAAAAAATTTATAAAAAACAATTATATAAAAAATTTATTATCGTTCGTTAGTTTTATTTTTTTAAAAAAATTTAAAAAATGAACAACATTATCAAAATTTCTTTAAATAAACAAGACGACCATTCAGCTCTAATGGATATTTTGGGTCACGTAAAGGGATCTAAGAAATGTGTTGTAATAGCGGGTGCAGGAATTTCATGCAGTGGCGGCATACCTGTAAGAAAATATTCTACACTATGATAATATATTCTTTACGCTTTTTCCAAAGATTTGACACGCTTTGTAAAAAACTTTTATTCATGTCAAAATTGTATTGTTTGTTACCAATATTAATATTAATTAAACTAGGATATCAATTTCAATATTGTTGAATTCCTCTTTGTTCATTAATAGATACTAATAACAAATGCCTTTTCAAACCTTTCCTTCTTTTTACTTTATCAGGACTTCCGCTCTGCAAACGGTCTTTATGAAATGGTCAAACAAAGATTTCCAAGATCTTTTAGTTCCGGTCAAGACTTATTTGATGCTTGTTTACTCAGGAATGACGAATCGATAAGAGCTTTCTATCTTTTCATGGGAATGTTAAAAGAATATATTATAAAAGCAAACCCGACACCTACACACTTGTTCCTCAAAAAACTTTCAGATGTTGGTAAATTAGTTAGAGTGTATACCCAAAACATCGATAACTTAGAGGAAGTCGTAGGTCTTCAAACCATTTCCAATATCAAAGCAACCACCAAATGTTCTGCAAAAGTCATACAACTACATGGCACCATGAAGTCATTAAAGTGTGATGCATGTTCAAACATTGTCGGTTTCGAATCTGTGCACTGTAATACATTAAAAAAAGGAGCTGCTCCTAGCTGTCCCAGCTGTGAAAAAAGAGGTATTTTTAATTTATTGAATGGATAAACAATTTGTCAATTTGATGATTGATTAATTTTTATTGATGATATTTACAATTGTTACTATTATTGCAGAAACTGAACGAAGGGAACAAAAGAAAAGATATCATAGAGTAGGTGAATTAAAGCCGACTGTGGTGCTTTATGGTGATCATCATCCACATGGTCTTGAGATTGGTCAAATCGCTGCTAAAGATAAGCAGAAGGCTGATTGTTTAATCGTAATGGGCACTTCATTAAAAGTCATAGGAGTGAAGAAATTAGTTAAAGGTTTTGCAAGAGGTATTCATGAAAGAGGTGGTAAAGTAATAATAGTAAATGTTACTGATGTCACGCGAAGCAAGGAGTGGAACGACATAATTGACTATCAGGTTGAAGGTACAACTGATGAGTGGGTAAGCTTACTTGAAAAAGAATTGGATTTATCAAGTACTGGCAGTAGTTGCCGCAATAATAATAATAGTCTCATTTTAAATTTTAATAAAAGAAAGAAAGCACTCAATAACAACAATAGCAACAGTAATAAAAAAAGCAGCAGTAATAATAAAAAAAGGAAGAGCAATAATGGTAATGGTAATAATGATGATAATGGAAGAGTAAATAGAAAAAGAATAAGAGCTGATAATAATGGTGCTGGCAGAAAATTGAGAAGCAAAAGAAAGAAATAGTAGAGTAATTTTATCTTCTTACTTATTATCATTATCATCGTCATTATTATTTTGTGGACAATATTATAAAATGACTTTAATAGTAACATAGAGCTAATAGACAAAATAGCTGGAAATCAGAATTTTCTCAAAAGACCTTCCTACTTGCACATGATAAGCTTTTATTTTTAGTAAAGAGGTGTAATTTTTATTTACTTTAATTTTGTACATATTAATAATATAATTAATTTTTCTTCTTTTATTCAAGTTATATATATATATATATATATATATATGCGTGTGTGTGTGTGAGATTTAAAAATTTTTTGAACATCTAATAAATGATTTCTAATCCAAAAAATTAGATGAAATGCATTGATTTTTTTATAATATAGATTGATAGAATATATATATATATATATATATATATATATATATATGTAGATGTATATATAATAATTATATGTATAGAATTTAGAATTTTTTATAATTAAAATAAATAAAATAAATTATTAGATCAATAAATGATAATTAATAAATTGATAATCATTATTTATTGTCGTAATTATAATTATTATTGTTGTGACTAATTTTTTAGCATTCATTTACCAAATATGATAGTTGATAAATGAAGAAACTTTATTATTATTATTATTATTATTATTATTATTATTATTATTATTAATATTAACAATGACGTTGAGAATGATGAATAAGATAAAGAAATTAATATCTAACCCAGCTCTGTGGATATACAAGACCATAAACTTTCAAATATTCAGAACGTAATGGAATTCTAGGATCCCTTCCTATTTTTCCACCAATTACAAGTAATCCGGTTCCTAATAGTCCAATTGTTGAAACAATTGCTCCAGTTCTAATATATTTTTGTATATTTTTTGATATTGGTGGTAGAGATTTATCAGCTGTCGAACTTTTAAAAATTGCTCCTTTGATAACTTTCACAACAGACGGTAATCCACTAGTGACATGGTATGCAGTCAATCCAATCAATGCTGAAAAAATAAAATATGATGTTTTTGGCCATTTACGAAGTGCAAGGGTTACATAAGTAGCATTGATCAAAGACGAATCTCCAAAATGTTTTCTTGGAAGAACACGAGAAATTGTTGAATGAAAAAGGGCAAATGGAATCAAAAGATATCCTACTGCGTGATGATAAGGAAATAAGCTATTCATTGCTCTTGAAACATAAGATTCGGTAATGGTGGTGGTGATTTTAGTAGTAATTTTTTGACGCATAACTACTCCTTGTTCATTTTTCTCATCTGTAACAATCTTTTCAACTTTTTCATGAACTTCACCAGTTAATTTACGTTCATCTTGTTTCTTGGATTTCCAGTATAATCTAATTCCTCGTTTGGCCGCCGATGAAACTATATGACTCCAAAGTGCTGCAACTACAACTATTGGTTCTAAAAATTTATTTTGATAATAAACTCTTCCCAAAATGATTGCTTTATTAGTAAGTTCAATTCCTCCAATATTGGCTAAAGCAGTTGCACTTAAATGAGTTACTAGAAAGCTTGTAAATACAATTGCTGAACCCGCTTGCACAATCGTAAGATACCCGTAGGCTTTAGGAAGAGTAAATTTTAACTTGGACAAAGAAGTTCCAGAGTTAGTTGGTCTAGAGAGCGACATAACTATTTTTCTTTTTTAAAAAAATAAAAAAATAAAATAAAAAATGAGGACTCTATAATTTGATGATTCTTATTTAATATAAAACAACTTGAAAAAAATTTTTTTTAATTATTTTTTTTCACCTTTTTATTTTATTTTTTTTTAAAGTTATTAAGCTTGTCACCACTTTTATCACATAATTATTAATATTAATATCTCCTGATATTTCCGATATCAATCAGATCTTTTTTTACTATAAATGCTAAATCCTGGTGAGATTTAATTTTGAAATCTTAACAAACAAGGGAAAATATCACGTGTAAGTAGTGTTGACCAATGAAATTAAAGAAAGATTATTAAAAATATTGGCATTTTTTAATAGGTGGCAAAATTTTAGGGATGCTTTAAAAATTACTTTTTTTGAGAGTGTATAACTGTGTATAACTAGCACAAATTTAGGAATCATTTGCAGAAATCAACTAACGTGTAACGCGATACATTCGCATCCCCCGTACTGAAATTACTAAATTTGTTTGGTGCGGTTAAATTTTTTTTTGAATTGATCTGAGTAGTAGATACCATTTTTGGTAAGCTAATAATAAATGACATTTAAAACGCCCTACTTCTATTAAAAAAATTTCATTGGGGGTTGGTTGAGCATAGTGGAAATTTGAAATGTTACACTAATTTTTTATATTGTGCAACGTAGCTTTACAATACACGGCAAACATTCTGGCAATAAAAAGTAAGTGATAAACTGGATTTGAATTTGATCCGAACTTGATCTCCAATTTAGAGAGGTAACAACTATACACTGGCGAAGTTTCAGAAGCAATGAGTTCTGTACAACATTTAGTGTAACAACAAACTTCCACTATGCTGGTTGGTTGTATATCACAAACAAAGAAATAATATGTGTAAATGTAAAAGTTCCTTTTGAAATTTTCTTTGCTGATCATTTTATTTTATTTATTTTATATTTATTTTTGTTACACGAAATTTAAATATACAATACAGTGCAGGAAACCTGGCCCCTACAACTTTTATTGGTTGTGCATATCCTTTAACTCCTCCAAAAATGGAAATGCATTACCAAAAAAACAAGACGTAATTTTGAAGCTAAGACCTTTCTCTACAAAGTTACCTCTTCATTTTGTTGATATGTCATGTTTTTGTAGAGGAATTAAGCCTCAAAGTTGTACAGTTTAATAAAAAAATCAACATGAAATACTATTGTCAGTTTTTTTGTAAAGCTGATATGCATCTTTTTTTTTAAAACTTCACTAACTTTTGTCTCTAAAATTTAACATGTGATTTTTTAATAATGGTTTTAACACAAAGTCATACATAATAATCATACAAAAAAAATCACATCAATTTTTAGCTTAAGTTCTGGAGATTATTCACATGATTCCATATTTTTTAAAACTTTATCAATTAAAAATAAAAGAATTTGTTTATTTTTGAAAATTTTTTTTTTTAATGTGATCATTGCTCTAAAGCCTATATAATAATATGTTACATAATTTTTACATATAATAATCCAAGATCTTTTAGTTCTCTGGTATAATTTTCATTACATGATTTTACATTCATCAATTACTTTGTTCCAATAAGTTTCCAAGTTACCACATTTTTGTTCTGATCTGACCTATTGTAAGAAAAGCATCTGTTAACAGTGTGTAATTTTTTATTTAGGACAAAGGAAGGTACATAATCAACCTAGTGTTCCATGTTGTAACCCAAAAAAGGAAACAAAATGGTTATAAAGGTGGTTGCAATCATTTTTATATGATTCAAAGATGGTAGCAACTAGTGATGGGAATTTTTAACCCTACACTTAATAACTCCAAGTTATTAATAGTTAATAACCACTTATTAACTGTTGCACTCTGAGTGAGAGTTATTAATCCAAAAGATCCATTTTGTCAATCAATCCCAGTGTATAGAATTCAGCATGTGGAATGTGCTGTGCTAACCAAATTCAGCAGATTTGGAAAAAATTTATCAAATTTGGTTAGCATGCACACTCTGCACACTGAATTTTATGCACAGTACTAAATTAATTATTAACTTGTTTATCAAATTAATATTTGATTAAACAGTTACCAATAAGAGATCTGCATGTTTGTGTTTTTAACACTTAATAATAGAGTTATTAAGTACTTAATAACTTGGTCATTTTTCAAAATAATTTTTACACCCATCACTAGTAGCAACCATCATCAAAAGTTGCAGCTGGTATCCTTAAATCAACACCTCCTTTGGAATCAGCAGACCTTTATCAATAACAAAGTTAGGTGCCAAAATAGAGGACTTGGAGTGGTTACCAAGCTGTCATACCTGGTAATTCTTCTAGGCAATGGGCATATTGTGCTTCAACCAGAAGTTACCCTAACCTTGCAAAATAAAAAAATACACACCTTTCCATTTGAATCTTCGCAAGTTTTTTCAGTCTTTTCACCATGCTCCAAGTCCCAATAATGAGGTTCGGTTTTAAAAAATTGTAAACTAAAGAGAAACAAATCATTTAACAAAAGCATTGAATAAGTCAGAAAAACAGAAAAAGGAAACTTACACCCTCTCAACCAACTTTCTAATGAATACCAACATAAGTTATTCAAAACTGTTTGAAAACAAATCACCCTGTTGGTACCATTTCTTTAAAAAGTATTGCACTTCATATTTTTTTTACTTCTTTGATTTGTTCTAGTATTGATTGATTCATTTATAACTTGTGGCAAGACAAGATTATCCAAATTTTGTATGTATTTTTTTTGCAATTTCATAATAAGGATGATCATCATATAATGGATCATTTATACAAAGTATTCCTATCTTGATTTGGTCTCTAAAATAATATAAATAATTAATTGCAGTGTTTTGTAAATAAAATTAAAAATATAATTATAATGTTTACAAATTGTTTGCATTATAATTACTTCAATGTTTAGTAGGTTTGAATATAGATGTCTCCCAAATCCCAAATCCCCAAATTAATTTGTGCACAATCCCAAATGTATATAGATCAGATTCCTGTACTTGCTCATTGCTGATCATCCTCGCAAATTCCAGGCACTTATTGGTTGAGCAAGAAAACTGATCTACATTTGGGGTTTGGGAATTCCTCAATGGATGCCCCAAATTTAGTTTGTGTATTTGGGATTTGTGCAGCATATATAAGGTTTGAAGATGGTAATTTATACCTAAAAAAAAAAAAATAAGAAATTGCTAGGAATGGCAAGTTGCGACGCATAGCAACCACTATTCTTTTTAACAATAATAACTAGAGTAGTGGTAACAGTGGCAGCATTTGCATGCAACCACCATCACCTTTAAGAATGAGGACAAGTGACCACCATTCTTATTACCCAGGTCTCGTTCCTATAATATCTTTTTTCTTCTTTTTTTATTTACAGCAGACATTTTAATTTTTAAAAAAAAAAATAAAAAAAATACTACTACTATTATTATTATTGTAGTGCTACGACCCGGATTAACGTTAAGAATATTTGAACCTGTTAAGAATCCGTTAGGATTTTTTTCATCCGGATTGGTAACAGGTTAATCCGTTAATATTAAAATAACATATTAATATTATTGGATAATATTAGTAATATGGTATTAATAAACCAAAAACATTTGGGGATGGATTGTGATTTATTTCTTTTTAAGAACATGATTTTTTTATGTTTCATCCGTGTTCTTTTACATGTTTCCCCTCCCTATACAGTCTAAGGTCCCTATACCGAACCCCTCTCCCTATATGTAATTTTTCTGCTTTAGTTCGTTATAGAGAGAGACTTACTCAATGTTCGTTATAGAGATGTTCGGTATAGATAGCTTAGACTGTATTTTTTAAAAATTTTCTTTACATTGAAAAATGATTTTTCTTAAAAGGATTGAAAGATTGTGATATTAATTTTATTTTAATAGTAATAGGTAAAATTCATAATGTATTAGATAAATAAACAAGGTCAAAAAGTCCTACCTCAGCATAAAAAAAAACAATATTATTATAACGGATCAATGGATTATTAATTATAATATTAATATTAACATTGATATTATTATTATCGTTAACGAGTTAACGGGATTGTAACACCCAATCCTATAATACTATATTATTGGAACTTGGGGTTGTAAAAGGATTTTTTTTGTTGACACGACCGATTTTTTTTTTTTGGAAAAACAAATTATTTTTCAAAATGTGAGTGATGTTAATTGGTATGATATGGTCTCTTAAAGAAGCGTTAATAACTAACCAGAGGCACTATTTTTTATTTGTATTGATATATTTAGTTTATAAATATTTTAATTGGAATCAAAACGTGGAGCAGATCTTGCTGGGTAATAAGATCCTTATCAAGATAATAACAAATGAATGATTGATATTTTGCTTTTTGTAGTTGTAATCAATAATAATAATATTATTATCATAAATATTACAATGTGTCGAGGCAACACACCATTGAAAAAGAGGCATTTCAATATGCAATATTTGATTATTGGAAAATTAGCAAGTAAACACTTTACAGTCATTTTCTCACATTCCTTGTGTACATAAGGCTAATCTGACTGCACACCCGATGATACAATGATGCAACCGAATTCCAGGGGGCGCGTTGCCCTGGAGTTTACCAAGACTGCATCATCATCAGGGACACTTTTGATAATCTTCCCTCACAACACCCAAACCAGAGAAAGTTGACAAGTTTCCTGCAACAATCCTACCTCTAGGGTAAAGATGGCTCTTTGATTGAGAAACTTTGAAGAGTTGTGATATTAGGTGCACATAAACATCCAGATCCATCAAAGCAACAAGAATATGCAACTTGTTCCAAGCACAGGAGGTTGTAATTCATAGCAGGGGTCGGTGACCCTGAAATTGCATTTGGGCTATGTTAAGAGGAAGGCTGTAAAATAAAATGTTCAGATTTTGTTTGGTATGTTATATATATATATATATTAGTTACTTTCATAATTTTCTGTTTCTTTAATTTTTATTTGACCAGCTGAAT